GAGGTGAGAAAGGAGACGTTAACTCTGCCTTTAAGCAGTTCAAAGATCACTTTTGATGTTGAGGTGACATCAGTGCACTTGTTTAGGTACGGCCTTTGGCAAAACCGGTAATATTTTAGGTGCCCACTTTCACCATTCTTGTACCTGTTGTTCTGCCAATCTTCTATACAAGGACAAATTATTTATTTCACCATCTTTAATCCCTTTAGCTAACTCTCCACTCTATCTCACCTCTCAACCCTACCCAGATAAATCCCATTCCAAGCAAATGGCTTCTTTGGCAGTAGTTGAGGCCATACAGCCAAGTCTTTCCCATGGGAAAATGTGTGGGAATGTGTGCCTTAAGTTTCTGGGTTGGCTGGATACATTTGCCTTGATGGCCAATGAGATTACAGCCATGTTTTGCATCCATCCAATAACTCAAGAGAGCTGCAGCCAATCCAAGTGGAACAAATCATTTTTCTTCTAAAAGATCATTGAGATAAACACTTCTGGATTATTTATTTGTTTGTTTAGTTTTGCTTAAATACTTGCCAATCTAGATTTTGCTGTATGTTTACAACTATCCTTTTACATTTTAAAAACATTTTATATTAATCTGCCAAATGTAATTTTCTATCACACACTGCTTTTCTTTCCAGTTTATTATTAATATCACTTTCTATGCATATTTGTGTGTGTTCCTCGAGAGGAAGGACTGAGACTAATATCTTTACAAGCCTCTCAGAACTTAGTATTGGGGCCACCAGTGGAGGAGCTGAGTACATTGGACTGAATTCACTGGGTTTTAATCAATGTTAATTACTATTTTTTGTATAAACAAAATAATTTACATCCAAAATAGCCTTCTAACATACTTGATGACCATCTAAATCAAGTTTCTTCCTTCAGCTTATTCTGGTGTCTTTGTTAAAAATTATGGAATACTTGTTTATAATTCCATATTGAGATGACAGATAACTTGGAAAAATGATAAAAGCCTCAAAGTATCTATGGACCATTAGAATATACAGTGAAGTTATAGTAATCCTGCAACTAGCTACTGGGTGGCGTGCCCCTCCATTTCACTATTTTCCATCACAAAATAATGGGATGCAAGTTCTGTGATTCAATTTCAAAGAGATAGTTTGATTATCCCCTGAACACCTAAATGGCTTATGTTAGCATCGTATATGCTATATGCTATATCTGCCCCAGTAATCACTGTCTCTTTTTCATATGGGCCAGTTCTTTGTTCTTTTGTTCCTTGTTAGAGGCCACCTTCATCCCCAATTTTTCCAGAGGCACCACGCATGTACCTTAGAGCTTAATGTGGGGAAATGACACCCCATGTCATCTGGTGAATGGGGACACTCTTCCACTCTATAAAGAAAGACCATTCTGGATATTCCCTTAGTTGTGTGCATATAATCCCCTGGGACTGGAAGATGCTACTCTTCCACTGGTGGAGTTCGTGGTGAAGAGTTGAGGACATTGTTTTTTCCTTATGGATCCAAGGAATGTGACTTGTCTTACAAATGGAGAACTAGACCCAATACACATAGAGATGAATAACTAGATCAGGGAAAGTGAGGCAAGAATAAGGCAAAAGTAGTCCAATAATGTATTTATTTATTTATTTATTTAAATATTTATTTATTTGTTTATTTTTTTTTTTTTTTGAGACAAAGATTCTCGCTCTGTCGCCCAGGATGGAGTGCAGTGGCGCGATCCCGGCTCACTGCAAGCTCCGCCTCCCGGGTTCACGCCATTCTCCTGCCTCAGCCTCCCGAGTAGCTGGGACTATAGGCCCCCGCCACCTCGCCGGGCTAATTTTTTGTATTTGTAGTAGAGACGGGATTTCATTGTGTTAGGCAGGATGGTCTCTATCTACTGACCTCGAGAACCGCCCTCCTCAGCCTCCCAAAGTGCTGGGATTACAGCCGTGAGCCACCGCGCCCGGCCGCCCAATAATTTGTAATTGTTCATGAAAGTCATTAAGAGGTAATGAGGATGAAAACAAATATGGATTCAAGACCCGAAAATGTAAAAAAAGCATTTTTTTCCCGCAAAGTGTGAAGAAAACATAGCAGTCAACCTAGAATTAAATATGTGTATTAGATTCATTAATTGAAAACCAAAAGAAATTAAAAAGCAAAGAAACAAAAAACATTGTTTTCCTTAAGAGAGTATCGCCATAGGCTACACATATAGTCAATTACATCCCACCATATTAGATACTATTTGCTATTGTAAACAATTAGCTCAGCCATCATTGTGGGTTTATGTTTTCCAATCTTTACATCTTCAAATGACCCCTGGCTTAGTCAGTTTGTTAAAAACAGCATATAAAACAACCCCTAAAGCCTTCTCTAAACTGGTACACAGCATTCTTCATTATTAAACAGCTGGCACTCTAACTATATGAAATTTCATTAAATTAACCTTAATGACTTAATGGTTCACAATCACAAAAAAAATACAATAAAATTTTAAGATGTAACTTCTACCCTTATCTAAAATCACTTCTATTAAAGATTTGACAATGTTAATGTTTAAATCAAATCATAGAATGATTCAACAATAATCTGCATTTTATTTTTAACTTTAAACATCTATTTTGGTCATTGCCTTTATGTTTCTTCATATTTATGCTTCCTGTTATAGTAAAAACTTATTACTATAAAATGACTGATTTCATTTTTAATTTCTGTTTGACCTTGTCCTTATTGACTGAAAATCTATTTTTTTGATGACCTACATTGTGTAAAGTACTGTTATAGGCACAGCGTAAAATGTTTAAGCTCCTATTTCTGAGGGTCTTACAGACTAAAAGAAATACATAGTTATACTTTGTCTACTCTTTACTAACAAAAGTCTTTTTCAAAAGCATCGTTTTGATCCTTTGAAGACTCCAGGAATTATTTCTATTTTGTGAATGAAAAGCCAAGGTTCAGAAACAAGCAACATGCCCAAGTTAAGGGATGGTTACAGGCAGAACCAAGATACGGATTTTGTACACATCCGGGATCCTTTTCCCAATATTTCTGTCCCTAGAGTTGAGGTCCTAAAAAATTATCTGTTAGAAGCATTTGAAATTGTTACTATATGAAATATAAAGAAGAGGAGCTTTTCAAAGGCCATTAGTAAAATTAGAAATGATTTTATGGGAGAGTCCCACAAATTAGGATAATGTGATCCTCTGAAAATGTCTGAGACTGTCTGAGCCATGATATTAGATGTAGGACACAAAAGTCAGGGCAAATACATCAAGAAAATATTTTATATGCCCTTTTCTAACTGTGTATACAAGTGAAATATCTATTAGGGTCAGCATCTTTTGAAAAATTGTATATATATATGTATAATTTTAATTAACAAAAATTGTATGTTTATGTTATACAATATGATGTTTGATGTATGTATACACTGAAGGTGACTAAATTTTATTAGCATATGTATTACCTTATATATTTATTTTTGTTGGTAAGAACATTTAAAGTCTATTTTTTTAGCAATTTTCAAGTATACAATATATTGTTCTTAATTACAGTCACCATGAGATACAACAGATCTCTTGAACTTACTCTAACTGAAATTTTCTACCCTTTGATCAACATATTCCCAATCCCCACACCCTCTAGCCTCTGATAACCACCACTGTACTCTCTACTTGTGGATTCAACATTTTTAGATTCCACACATGTGTGAGATCACGTGATTTTTATCATTCTGTGGTTGGCTTATTTTATTTAACATAATGTCTTCTAGGTTCATCCATGTTGACCCATAAATGACAGCATTTTCTTCTTTTTCAAGGCGGAATAGCATTTCATTTTGTATATATATCCCATTTTCCTTATCCATTCATCATTATTGGACATTTACGTTGATTCCATGGCTTGCCTGTTCCGAATAGTGCCGCAGTGAACGTGGGTTGTGCATACATCTCTTCTACTTGCTTATTTCATTTTCCTTTTCCAGAAGTCGGATTGCTGCGTCATATAGTAGTTCAATTTTTGATTTTTTGAAAAACCTCCATTCTCTTTTCCATAATGGCTGTATTAATTTACATTGCCACCAAACATGTGTAAGAGTTCCTTTTTCTCCACATTTATACCAACATTTGTTTTATTTTGTTTTGATAATAGTCATTCTAACAAGTAGGAAGTGAAATCTCATGGATTTGATTTGCATTTACCTGATGATTAGTGATATTGAGCACTTTTACATGTACCTGTTGACCATTTGTATGTCTTCTTTTAAGAAATATTTGTTCAGGTCCTTTGTCCATTTTAAAAATCAGATTTTATATATATATATACACATATGTGTGTGTATATATACACATATGTATGTGTGTGTGTATATATATTTGCAGTTGAATTATTATGGCACTAGGATTCTGGGTAATATGTATTTATTATTTTCTTTAAGTTCTGGCTACATCTACAGAATGTGCAGGTTTGTTACGTAGGTAAAGGTATGCCATGGTGGTTTGCTGCACCTATCAACCGATCACCTAGGTATTAAGGCCTGCATGCATTAGCTATGCTGCCCTTCCCCGACATGCCCCAGTGTGTGTTTTTCCCCCCATGTGTCCATGTGTTCTCATTGTTAAGCTTCCTCTTATAAGTTAGAACATGCAGTATTTAGTTTTCTGTTCCTGTGTTAGTTTGCTGAGGTTAATGGCTTCAGGCTCCATCCATGTCCCTGCAAAGGACATGATTTTATTCCTTTTTATGGCTGTATAGTATTCCATGGTATATACCTACTTTTTTTTTTTTTAGCCAGTCTATCATTGATCGGCATTTGTGCTGATTCCATGTCTTTGCTATTGTGCATAGTGCTGCAGTGAAGATATGTGTGCATCTATCTTTATAACCGAATGATTTATATTCCTTTGGGTATATACCCAGTAATGAGATTACTGGGTCAAATGGTTTTTCTAGTTCTAGATCCTTGAGGAATCACCACACTGTCTTCCACACCGGTTGAACTAAATTTATCTTCCCACCAACAGTGTAAAAGTGTTGCTGTTTTTCTGCAACCTCACCAGTATCTGTTGTTTCTTGACTTGTTAATAATTGGCATTCTGACTGGGGTGAGATTATTGTATCTCATTGTGGTTTTGAGATCTATCTATCTATCTATGTATCTATGTATCTATGTATCTATGTATCTATCTATCTATCTATCTATCTATCTATCTATCTATCTATCTAAATAAGAGAGAAAGTATACAGAGTAATATAATAAATTTCCATGGAGCCACCACCCATCACTGTTTTTCTCTGGAGAGTCACATGAAATTTTCCAAACTATACTGGAATCCCCATCTTCTCCTCCTATCATATCCTATTATGCAGCCTACACTGCAGTCTAGATACTTCTCTCCCAACCTATCAAACATATTTATGCTTCTGTGCTTTACTGACTCTGTTCCCTCTCCTAGAATAATCTTGCTGTTTACGTGAAAGTCATTTGTTCTTTAAAATTTTTTCAATTGCCCACGTAGAATTAATTGCCTTCACCTCTTTGTTCCTATAGAATTTAGTTAATACCAAAAAATAAAAGGTAAAGACTATAACCTCATGTAATATGTAGTTATAAAATGTTATAAATGGTTCAGGGTCCTTCATTTTACTACACAGTCCCACAGAAGAAGGAGCATATCTATTCTTCACTGCAGTGTCCCTGTGCCTAAGGTACTGCTGTGTACATAAGGGAGTACCTATACAGTGAATATTTAATGAAATCAAGAAGAGATAATCAGAGGCAGGGTGGGGATATGGATTGAATTTGATTGACAGATATAATAGTAAGCTTTATTCATGACCAAGACAGACAGGTTGTCTGGGGTTGAGAACTATTAGAAGTAGTATCGTCCTGGAGTCCAGCTCACAGAGCAAGGAGACATGAATATTTCCCTGTAGTTACTGGACCAGAACAACCTGCACAGATTCATTGGAAATTGTTTTCTTCCTTCCATCCAAACAATTCTACACTACTAGGGCCCCAGAGCAAATAGAGATGTAGGGAAATTTCTGTTTTTGTAACGTACTCCAGCTGAGTAAGCATTTTCAAACCCCTTCCTCAAAAACATGGGTTTTACACATGTGGCTCTGCTCACACTGATTTCCCACTAAAACACCTAGCCTTCAGCTTATGTCTCAGATGCAGAAGTAAATTTCTAAGCCCAAGGTTCATTGGAGTTTATTCTTACCTATTTTAGAATCCCATTGCTGAAACCTCTTGTCTACTTCCAACTGTTGGGTGTCTTAAAAGAAGTGGTCTGTTTTGATTTCCATTTCTCTGATGGCTAGTAATGATGAGCATTTTTTCATGTGTCTGTTGGCTGCATAAATATCTTCTTTTGAGAAGTGCCTGTTCATATCCTTTGCCCACTTTTTGACAGGGTTGTCTTTTTCTTGTAAATTTGTTTGAGTTCTTTGTAGGTTCTGGATATACACCAGTTAGAATGGCGATCATTAAAAAGTCAGGAAACAACAGGTGCTGGAGAGGATGTGGAGAAATAGGAACACTTTTACACTGTCGGTGGGAGTGTAAACTAGATCAACCATTGTGGAAGACAGTGTGGCGATTCCTCAAGGATCTAGAACTAGAAATATCATTTGACCCAGCCATCCCATTACTGGGGATATACCCAAAGGATTATAAGTCATGCTGCTATAAAGACACATGCACACGTATGTTCATTGAGGCACTATTCACAATAGTAAAGACTTGGAACCAACCCAAATGTCCATCAATGACAGACTAGATTAAGAAAATGTGGCACATATAGACCATAGACTACTATGCAGCCATAAAAAAAGATGAGTTCGTGTCCTTTGTAGGGACATGGATGCAGCTGGAAACCATCATTCTCAGCAAACTATCGCAAGAACAGAAAACCAAATACCGCATGTTCTCACTCATAGGTGGGAACTGAACAGTGAGAACACTTGGACACAGGAAGGGGAACATCACACAGCAGGGCCTGTTGTGGGTAGGGGGAGGGGTAAGGGATAGCATTAGGAGATATACCTAATGTAAATGACGAGTTAATGGGTGCAGCACACCAGCATGGTACATGTATACATATGTAACAAACCTGCATGTTGTGCACATGTACCCTAGAACTTAAAGTATAATAAAAAATAAAGAAAACAAATAAATAAAATAAAGTAAAATACATGTTCTATGTCTGATAGAACAGACATATAGGCAGACTATGCATAAATCACAGATTTTTAAAGAACTAGTTGTGAAAATTTAAGGGAAATAATCAGTTAAGACACAGTGAAATCAAAGAACAATTGACTCTCTGCCAAAATATTGACATGTATTTTCTGGGTGAATTTTGGGTTGCCTAGAGTTTGGTTGTTAGCATTAAAGATTCAGAAATATAACAATTTCAGCTTTTTTGAAGTTGATGCAGATTTCAAAAATGAATTCCACTTAATCAATGCAAAATAGTGGTGTGGATTACTAGAATCATTATTTTTAAAACAGCACAAAACACAGACACTAATACTTGTATCAACATGGCCAAAATATTTTCTGCTTAGGGAACCTGTGTGGGAAAATATATTATAATAAAATAACAATTTGTGTGAATAATAAATGTAACTGTTACCAGAACCCAGAAAAAAAAAAAAAGTGTCTGTAATTTTATGTATCCTTGAAAAGAAATTCTCAAAGTTGCTTAAAATCCATGTTTGAACTTCCTTGTAAATTTCAGTTATATTCCAATCAATGATTATTTTTTCCACCGAAATGAATGGCTGATTGTGATATAGTGCCTCAACACATGTGCAGATAACCACAGTTGAGACACAGATTGTGTCTGAATGCTGTGGGTTTTCAGAAGAGGCAGTGCTTCTTGGAGGATGTGAATTTAATCTGAACTTTGTATAATAGATAAATTGAATTTAAATGGAAGTAGCAACACACCTGGAAAAACTTCAACAGAGTTTCACAGGAATAAAAGGGAACGTATATTTAAGAAAAGGAAGTAATCTCATTCCCCAAGGAAAAGATTTTAGAGGCATTAACTAAGTCCCTTAACTAACAAGGTGGCATTAGTTTCAAGAAGAAAAAGGGCACATTTCACTGGAAAGCCAGTGATTAGACTGTTAAAATTATGATTCTAGGTGACAAATCTGGCAGCATCAGAAGACTAGAAACAAGGGTATTATTTCAAAGGCTTGTGATTATCCAGACGTTAAAGATAAGGACCTATATTAAAGCAGAAGGAAAGAAATATACTATAGAGAATATGATAAACGAGGTAGAAAAGAAGAATATAGTCTTTCAAAAACTTCTGTAAGTTTTGAAAATGGATCACATTGGCTCTCAAAATTGGTTATGTGTAATTATCATCTGGGAAATTTTTGAAAAGACCCATCGCCGTGGTAATGTTTCTGAAAGCCTAGGGTGGGGCTTATGATTGGTATTTTAAGTAAATGGCTCAATTGTTTCTGACACAGATGGTACATAGATCACAATTTGAGAAGCACCAATTTAGTAGAGAGCTGAAGAAGGAAAGAAAAGCAAGGTACTGGGGAACTATCAAACAGTTATTCTGTGCAATTTGCTATGGCCATTGTTTTCTGTTTTTAAACTTTATTCACTAGACATTTGTTAATTTAAATATTTTAGAAGACATAAGCCGGGCACCATGGTTCGTGCTTGTAACCCCAGCACTTTGGAAGGCTGAGATGGGAGGATCACCTGAGCCCAGGAGTTTAAGAACAGCCTGGGCAACATAGCAAGACCCCATCTCTACAAAAAATTTAAAAAATCAGCCAGGCAGAATGGGATGTGCTTGTGATCCCAGCTACTTGGGAGGCTGAGGTGAAAGGATCGCTTGAGCCCACGAGGTCGAGGCTACAGTAAGTCATGATTGTGCTGCTACACTCCTGGGTGGGTGACAGACCTTGTCTCAAAAAAGAAAGAGTAGGGACTCATCAATAAATTTTGAAAAGGAATGGTAATAAGGGTAAAACTTGTCTGTTAACGTACATTAAAATGGTAAAATAATTGTAGGAATGTCTAGAGTTCTCAGGTGACTTAAGGCCTCCATGGTCAGTGTGGGCACCAAACACTCAGATGTTATTTTCAAAACCATAAGGTTAGATAAAAGAAGATGGAGAGGAAAACTAGAAAAGAGCTAAAGACAAAACAGCAACAACCTCCCCAGCCATGGAGACAGGAGGAGAAAGTGTAATGGAGCAAAAACACTGTCCACTGGAACTTCCAGACAGTTTGCATCAGGATATTCCCAGGACGCAAAGTTAGAGGAGTTTCACTACTCTCTGTAGCTTTGTTTTATTTGTTTCTTGTACAAAAACTCTAGTCATTTCTTACTATTATGACTATAATTTTATTAAAATGCTACATTAAGGATAAAATAATTTATTGTTCATATAAGCATCTTCTCTGAGTGGTCATGATTACAATATTCTTTTCCACTTTGTGCTAATGAAATAACCTAAGTGGTTAGGACATACACAGCTACTATACATGGCCAGACAGTCAGCTGTAAAATTTCAAGTTGGGGAAAAAAAAAAGCATTTTTGTGAACCATTAAAATGCTACAAGTTGTTTGATGACTGAAAACTTTTATTTCAGTCCAACAGAAAAGTTAATACAATTATTTAAATACACACAGTTGAAAAACAGTTTACAATCTTTTGCATCCTGTGGCTAAGCACCTAGAGTATATTTGAACAAAAAATTATATATATGCAAAAAAAGAACAGGTTAATAAAGACTGTCAGTGAAACCAGAATTCAGCTTAGTAAGTGGCACAAAACTAGTCTTTGCATTTAGAAAAATGTGATATTACTTTCAACCCGGTGAGCCTATTATGTCTGCATCTCCTCAGATTTTTACATGGCCTTGAGCAATTTGGGCTGGAGCCAGCTATAACAGTATTATTTCAGCAAATCACTTCCTATTTTTGTACATTTTAAGAATGTACTGAAAGGTACTTTCAAGTCTGAAAATATCAACTGATCACACAGCAATGATGTCTCATTTACAAGGCCTTTATGTAGCCACAAACTGTTTTCTTTAACAGTTAAACTATCTCAGGAATAGTAATAAACATGAACTACTCTATTACCACATTTTTAAAAAGCTGTGCAGTTTACCTAAACAATGAATAATGTCATATGCTTTAAATTCTCCCTAACAAAAACAAATACTACTTTCTGTATGACAGGGGTTGGCAAATTTCTCTGTACAGAGCAGAGAGTAAATCTTTTTTGCTTTGTGGTAGGGTCTCTGTTTTGACTATTCAGTTCTGCCATTAAAGCATAAAGGCAGCCATAGACAATGTGCGCAGGAATGTGTGAACTTCTGTTCCAATAAAACCTTATTTATAAAAACAGGCAATGGGCCAGATTTGGCCTTCAGGCCATAGTTTGTTAACCCCTGTTCTATGAGATTCTTTTTCTAACATGCTGGTAATGTGAATATGCTTGTTATCTAAAACACTGAATTATTTTTATGTTTATTTTTATTGATACATATTAGATGTATATATATGTTCAGGTACATGGGATAATTTGACATCTTCATTAATAAAATTAGGGTCATTGGGATATCCATCACCTTAAATATTTTTCTTTTTGCTAGGAACAGTTGATTTATTCTCTTCCAGCTATTTTTAAATATATGTTACATTAATGTTAACTATTATCACCCTACTGATCTATCAAACACCAGATCTTATTTCTTCTAAATGTATATTTGTACCCATTAAACAACCTCTCTTTATCACCTCACTATCTTTTAGCATGTTGAATTATTTCCCATACTCTTAATTTTAAAACCAGGACAGTCACTTGTCACAACTCCAGTTATGAACAGTGCCTAATTTTGAGACATTCATTGCAGAAATGAAATGGATATGTAGAGTTGGCAGAGATTAGGAAATCACTGAGAAATTCTTTAAGGTGTAGGTTATAGATTGATAGGTTACTCATTCTAGTAAGTAATGGAGTGCATTATATCACAACTGTCTGAGTTTGTTTGTGCTGCTATAACAGAACACCATAAACTAGGTAATTTACAAATACCAAAAATATTTTATCATAGTTCTAGAGGGTGGGAAGTCCAAGATCCAGGAGCCAGTAGGTATGATTGTCTGGTGAAGGCTGCTCTCTGCTTCCAATGTGGTACGTTGATGCTGCGTCTTCCGGAGGATAAGAATGCTATGTCCTTACACAGCAGAAGGCTCAAGGGCAGGAGAATCCAGTGCTGTGTGAAGCTCTTTTATAAGGGCCTTTGTCTTATTCACAAGAAAGGAACCCTCATGGCCTAAGCACCTCTTAAATGTCCTGCCTCTTAAAATTTCGCATTGGCAATACCTGAATTCTGAAGGGGACACATTAGAACCACGCATATCACAAGTGGCATCTGGAAAGACAAGGTTTTCTGAAATGCCCTATTCTGTTCATTGTTCACTCTTTACACACACACACACACATACACACACACACAGCCCTTGTCTGCTTGACAAAATCCCTTTTATCCTTCAGATTGCTTTTTCTGTAAACCTCCCACTCAGACTAAGTGAAATACCTCCCAAGTGCATTGATTTCTGTTTGCAGTTACAACGCCACATTGTACTTACTTGATTGCATGTCAATGACTAGGACAGAGAGGCTGAGGGCATGGTAAGCAGGTAGGCAGGGCCAGAGATCCAGAAGGGTTTTGTATTCTGTGTTAGACAGGCTATATTAAGGCAAGAGCAGTGGAAACCATTGCAGAGAATCAAGCATAAAAAATATGCACTGGATCAATGTTTTAGAAAAATGACAAGACAACTGCATGGAGAATGAATTATAGGGGGATGAAGTAAAGAAGGGAAAATTGGTAGTATGTTATTAGTGACCCAGAGAAAGATGATGGTTGTTTGAACCAGGAGGGTAGCAGGCAAGATAGAGAGAAATATTGACATTCAGGTTTTATTTTGGTGGTTGCACCCATAGCATTTCTAGTGGATTGGATGTGAGAGAAGGAAAAGAAAAAAAATCAAAAATAGCATCAAGATTTTTGCTTTACACTGGGATGATAACGTTACCATATACAGGGGATGATACTGATGTCTGAAAGAGAAAATAAGAGCTCTGCTTTGTCTCTTTTAT